ATCTACAAGAAACAACTCTTATTTTTGCTCTAGCAAAAGTTTGCAACAGGCCCATTAGCCGCACTTTATTTATGCCCTCACTCAATTACCAATACATAATTCCTCCATCAAAAAGGGGTAGAAATTAGAGAGCCTCTTAAGCATGTGTTTCAAGTAAATTTTGAAGTTTTTAGGTTTGAAAATGACTGAAAATTTCGGAAGAACAGAATAATAAGAATAAATTAATTTTAATTTCATACATTTGATAGTGCTGGACGCATCCTCAAAAGTTCCTTCAAGTCTCCTTGCCGGTAACTTCATCGATCTCGGAAATTTTGATCAATGTCTTGCAGTCCGCAGCGATGCCTCCGACGCTCATTTGCACGTCGTCGGAAAGTATTGTCTCATAAAAGCCATTTTCAACAGAACTTGGAATGAAAATCAAGAGGTAAGAGACCAATAATGACTCGTAGTTGAGGCGTTAGGGGCAAAATGGGAATTTCTTGGTTGTGGAGTTTCAGAATCTCCTGTGCTAATTTTTGATTTAGAGAGGAAACCACTGGGTCAATTTTCTGAAATTTTACATTTTCAGCTCTGTACTTATAATCATAAAGAATACTCGGTAAAAGTTTCAACAAATCACATACATTTGCTTTAGTTATGATGAGTGAAACGTCAGCTGAGATTTTGAGACACTGTAACCAAGAAATGCCCTTTTTGCACCCAGCGCTTCAGTTTTATGAGGTTGACTTTTTACAAACGCGCCGTAGCGAAAGGAAAAAGTTGTTCCTAGTCATACGTGGGTCAAAAATGTCGATTAGCACATCAGGAAAGTCTGGAATTCGTTCCTAACTTCAAAATGAGCGCTGAAAAATTGCGCGCTTTCGAGCTTTCCGCCTTTGAAAACCATAGTAAAGGATTAATACAGGCGAATCAGTTTCAGATAATACATTCACTTCCAATCCTCACGAAAAACTCAAATCTTTCCGCCGTTATGTGTTGTGCGTTTTCGCAATTAAACACAAACAAATACAACCACCTTCATTCCTTCAAAACAAGGGGCACGCCCCCTGACCGCTTTGCGGTAAAACCCTTCCCCCACGAAGCGCTGTACGCCTCAGGCGTTATGCGTTACGCGTTACTCTATTGATCTCAAATGATCTCATATTATTGAGTAAGATGTACTTGTTTTCCTGCTATCCAAGTGGAATCGTATAAAAGTAAAAGTAATGTTGTTGTTCACTTTCATTAGAAGAGCTGCGTCACATGATGATGGTCATTTTAAGTTCCGCGTGGGGTCCCGAATCAGGAATGACACGTCGGTAACAAATTTTGACTTTGCTGGAGTAACTGCACTTTTTGCAGCGAGAAACTCAAAACTGCGCAAATTTCTTTCGCTGACTGGCTGACTGTAAAATTAGGAATGAATTTTAGACTTTCCCGATGCGCTCATGGTAACCTTTGAGTCATTTTGCAAGAAAAAACTCTTTGGAACAAACTTATTTGGCCCGTCGAGGCAGATGATACGTAATTTTCAGGCATAGAATGCGTCAGTGACCTGCTCTTAAGGATTTCCATAATCATACACACGGTCCCTCACTCTCACAAAAAGTCAAATGTTTTTAGATATTTCTGAGAGAAAGGTCCGTGTTTTTTTTCCAGAGTCAGTGCATTAGATAGCACTCTTAGGACCCTTTCAAGGAAAATTATGGCCGTTCACCGGGAAAAAATATATCCTACCCCACACATGCTCAAAATTGATTCAAACTAGAGAATAAATAAATGACCGATAAACCTCCTGAGAAAACAAATCGTTTGACCACAGGTCTCACTGGAGCTGGTATGAAGTTTGCGATCTAAAACACACATTTTCAAGAAAAATCGATTTTAAATTCCTCTGTTCACAACCAAATCTGTCTGATCAGATAGCAAACTAGCGCCCTTTATTTGCAGAATAATGTATTCTTCTGGACGACTGCTTGAATTTACCACCAAAATCTCAAAATCCAAATTTGAGACCCATCTCAATAAAAATCTCTCTTCCGAAAATTTTACCGCCATGAACTAAAATTTCTTCTGGACAGTTACAAATAAGAGCTTATCGTGATTTTGATCTTTCTTTTTTACTGCAGGTTAGTTTGAGAGACCTGAGCGAAGCATGGACATGGTCTGTATGTATTCCGGCTGCATGCAGTGGAGAAGACCTGACTCATCACTTAAAACTGTCTCTTAACGGTATCGCTAAGCAAGTACATGAAGTTCATTGTACAAGCGGTACGGACAATGCTGGTTTATCCGCAACATCTTTACTCATGATGTAAGACTCGTTGATAGAAATATTCTTTTATGGAAAACAAGTCTTTAAGAATATTTTATAAACTTCCAAGGAACTTATTTGCGTAAGAAATCTTCCTAAAGTTCTCTAATATACTTTTCAAATAAATTTTAAGAAACTTTTAGGGTCTTGACTGCAAATGATTCTCCCTTAATAACGCGTTTGATTGCATGGTTTATTTGACTATGTTTCAGGCTCGTTTTGTCGATATTTTGATATCGGAAAAAATCCGGTAATCCAAAAACCGAATTTTTACGGAAAAATCCGAGTTTTAAAGGCGGGAAGCCCAAGAACGCGCAATTTTTTTACTCATTTTGAAGTCAGAAGTAAATTTCATATCGCGAAGAAATTCCGTAATATCATGACAACATTTCTCTTTTATGTCCATCGTGCCGGGAAACTAAAAATTGAGTAGTTCATGTCTCTGCGTAGATGAGTCTTTTGCTAAAATTTGTTGGCCACGATCAATTTTTGGTGCAACGCCAACGGGGCGAGGTGACTCCAAAACAGACTCTTTTGAGCGAGAAATGTGGGGTCTTTTGAGCGAGCAAAATACGCGAGTGTAGAAGAGGGAATCGCGAAAAGGAGGAGCCGGGGCCTTTTGGGCAAGTAGAAAATACTGTAATATATTAACTCATTATTGATACCAACTGGTCGATTAAGAGGCAGTTCCTTGTGAAAAATTGTGAGGCACTCAAACTTAAGATCACAGCAAACTGGGATGCTCAGAAATCCGTGAAAAAGATAAACTGCGAGCCAAAATTAAAAAAAAACAAGCAGTGAACTCCAACACAATGTGTTGATAAGGCGCGTCATT